GCGGATCAACTTCACACAGAAGTTACGATGTGTCACGTATGCAGTCCAGGTTTCGGCATTCGGGCAGTCCTGGTGATCTCGCCATGCCAAATCCCTCCGGGACATACATTTACGTGTCCTGCTCCTCAGAAATGAATTACGCTTGTTTTTAGGGTGGAAGGACTTTTGCTGTGATGCGTGCGCTACCAGTGTACTAAACGTCCTTGTAAATGTTTCCCAGGCAACATTTGGGGGGCATTCGGTTAAGAAAGTCCAAGATGTATCCTTAACAAGCTTGGACAACACTTTGTAGTGTGTGACAGTATGCACTTTATCCTCCTCCTTTTCAGGGTACTCCGCATAGCAAATATAGTCAAAGAGCAGGGTAACATGATCACTACGACCCAGTGGTGTGCTTGTAACTATCCCGCTAACCATGAGTTCTTTGTTAGTGAGCAAAAGCTCCAGTATTGACGGCTTGTTAGCAGTTCGAAATCTGGTGGGAGAGGTTACCTGGTTGTAAAGCGGGTGACTAGCAATAAGCTCTTGCAAGCAGGCTTTAAACTGCGTACCGTCGGTTGCCGGCGTTTCTATGTCCTGCACGTTAAAGTCTCCCGCGATAAGAATGTGGGTGTAGGACTTGTTCAAAGCAAACTGGAAAACGTGGTTCAGTTTGGAGTCCATTTCCGAAGTTGAGTTTGGTGGGCGATAAATCACGGCTAGTAGGCATGTGTCCTTGTTTCGCAACCATAGGCGGCACCAAAGCGAATCGGGAGCTCGGATTTCTGGGTGGTCGATAACCTCACATCGGAGGTTTGTATTATAATAAAGAATCACACCGCCCCCCTTCCGGTTCTATCGGTCCGAAGCAGTGACATACCGGGTAAATTGATCTCAGAATCGGTTGTCTCAGGGTTTAACCATGTCTCTGTAATCATGACGAGGTCCCGCGGTTGTGAGGCATGGAGTTCTCTAAGTTCTGCCAACTTGCTTGGAAGGCCTTGGGCGTTTGTATACATGCAAGATAGGGCCTTTGTTTTTAGGAGTTCATTGGTAGATGTCAAGTTTGTGTTCGCTTTTAAGCCGGCCGTTAGGTGGCCGGCAATTAATCGTTTTTTGGTTTATGTATTTCAGTCGTGTTGCAAGGCATTATTAAGCGTCCCTGTACAGAAGTTTCACTGGTGCTGTGCTCGGTCCTCCTGTGTGCCGTGGGCGCTGTTGTGTCGGTCTCTCCGCAAGACTGTGCAGATAGGGAATTTGCTGCGTTTGCAAGTTCCGTTGAATGGCTTCCGACTTTTGGTCGTTCGCCTGCTGCTTTTAGCCGGATCTCTGTAGGCAACCTAGCTCGAAACTTTAACCAGCTATCCAACAGAACTTGCGTCATTCCCTCGGAGTGTAGTATTACTTTAATTAGCCTTGGACCGCAGCCATTGTAGTTAGGTGATGTCGGAACTCTTGTCAGGGATTTGGCAATAACGTCCTCTACAGAGAGTGCTTCGCGGATGTAGCACCACTGCTCTCGGTCATGAGTTTGTGCATCGTGATCAGAAGAATGCAGAAGCTCAGGAACACCATGAACAAATATTGTTTTCTTACTATCTCTATTAGCAATGCCGCGTTGGTCAACTGCTTCTTTCGGGCGATCTTTCCAAGGTAGATCAGGCAATATGCGTACTCCGCTCGGTGAGTTGCGAAGACAAACTGCTGAGAGCAGGACAGCCTCTGTCTCATCTGCTGAGTTTAGTGTTACTCGAAGAATTCGAGGTTCACCAGAGTGCACGGAGGTCGGGTGACGCGCTACGCATTGCAGCGTTACAGGCTCAACCCGAATGTTAATTGCCTCGCAGATGGAACTCCACTGGTTGCGATCGTCTTGCAACTTGCCTTTTATTGTTCCAGATGTGGATTCGGGAACATTGGTGCACGCGAGAGTTAACGCAGCGTGGTTTTGTCTAGTGATTGTTGGCTTTATACTTTTTGCCGGCAATTCGCATTGTTTAGAGGACACCACTGGATTGGACGGTGAAAGCTGCTTTGCACCACGCGTGCTCGGTACTGAAGATGGACTTATGTGTGTCCCCCCCCCCGTGTGTTTGTCGAGGCAATCGATGCGTACGTTACCTGCTTGTTATCTGCACCGGATTTCCTACGGCTCTGAGCTGTCGGTGTCATGGCTGAATCTCCAAGTGGGAGCAAGCATTGTCCAGGGTCCTCCTCGCGTATAGAACCAGCAAGCAGTCGACCACAAAAGTTGCCCCGTGCGAATTACTGTTTTGGAAGGCAGCCAAGAATTTCACTCGATGCATGCACTACCTAAATGCAGGGATTGGATATCCCACCAACACACCGCGAACGTCTGGAAGAAAGTGCCAGAAGAGAAATCGGGTTTCGGCAAGCAAGGAATAAGCGCAACTACGATGCCAGGTACGCGACAAATTCGAGAATATACTATTGATTTATTTATTTAAGTGACAATCATACAGTGTAGGTGACAAAGTAGCGATACGAAATCACAAACGTCCGGAATTTGGAGGTCCGGGTGCACGGAAGTTCAGGGAATACTGGAAAGGTCCTTATACTGTACGCGACCGGAAAGGAGTGCAGGTCAAATTTCACGACGGGGAGTCAAAACGCTGGATGAATGCCGCTATGTTACGTCCATGGCATGGGAGAGAACACCAACCTCGAGGAGGGCCGGATGTAGAATGGCGGATGGCAGCGTTTATCCAAAGGACGGGTACAGCAGTAAAACGGAGGCGGACGAATAGGGAGACCGATGCAATGGGGGCGATTCGCTGGAGAAACCCAGACCCAATAGAACGAGATGAAAACGGGACAGGAGCGGCATCCGTGGAGGATCCCGAGGCAGGCAAAGCAGGTGAGGAATTTGTTGAGGACGCAATAAATCGGACAAAACCGCCGGTATCGTATCTTCAAGAAACAACCACGGAGAGAGTGATACACGCACGGTCAAGCAAAGCGCACGCTATCGAACGACTCTGGGCTTGTCAGAATCGGAGGCGTGGAAGCGAAGATACACGAGCGAACCGGACCTAGAAGATGCGTTCCCGTTCCCCAGAAGGAGCATGGAAGTGTCACGAGCGGAGGCCAAGATGGATGGTGCAACTTGGGAAAGAAACCTGGCCCATTAATGTGTGCCCGTGTGAGTGGTGAGGTAGTGTGTGTTCGCGCCAACAAAGATCGTGCTTCATTGCCGAGTTGTTTTGTCGCTACAATATGCTGGATGTGATTCGTTTTGAGGACAGTTTCAAGGAGGCTAGCCACAAAGGACGCGTCGATGGCGGCAGTGCAGTAGGTCCTAACTGACATCTGGGCCATTGAAGGCACCAACCATAAGGCAGTGGCTGTGTTTTCCATACGATTTGATAAAGTCGCCTTGTCCCCAAAGGGCATTGTAGGCAACGCCAACTATAAGAGATTTGAAGCCATCATTAATCCTACACCAGAGCAACACTGCGCCACCATCCACGTCGCTGACAGCTTCTACGAGATGAACTTTAAGGTCCTATCTCCAATACAGTACTGCACCGCCACCAGCCCTTGTTCCAGCTTGGTCAGCATCAGAAAGTTGGTATCCTGAGATGTAGATCTCGGAGTCGGAGATATCTGAATTGAGCCAGGACTCGGTGAACGCCGATAGGTGAAGAAGCAGCTATAAAGTAAGGGCTTGTACCTTGTCCACCTTGTTCCGGTGGCTGCAAACGTTCGCAACCAACACCTGTATTTCATACTTCGTCCTTGTTGCTAAGTTCTGGGGAGGATGATCAGCGGTTTCCAGTGGGACCTCGGTACTTCTTTCACTACCTGAAAACTCATTATGTGCAAGTTGGTCCCACCAATTGCTCTACGGGTTCGTAGTACATTAATTGTGTACCACAATTCAGTTCGAGCTTCTGGGGGAGAGATCTCTAAGAACATAGATTTTTTCCTCCCTTGAGAAGTGAGGTCCATCCGAGCAGACGGCGGCACTCTTGTTCATCCTGACAGACAACATTGAGAGGACAGGAGTTAATGGGGGCTTCTCGCTTTCTCTGAAGGCGAAATGCAGAGACAAAGTTAATCCATTTTTCCCGCTATCGAACAGAAGAAAGACCATGTGCTTTAGGCATGCTTGATCGGGCTGTGTCCTTTCTGCTGGTGTCTCCCTATTGGGCTCGGGCGCATTTGCCATTATTAGACACCACTCACGAGATGGACCCTCGTTTCCTTTAGGTATAGGTGGTTTCGGTGTGCCGGGGTTAGCCTTGATCAGATTTTCTAGCTGCTTCGTTCTGTCCAAAACCAATCGTAGCTGGCATGATGTCGGCTTCGGTGTGGTTTTAGACTTATGTGACTTAGCCATAGTTTTACATACATCTGTATTTGCAACCACCGAAATTTGGTACGCTAGTTCTCGCCACAGTCGCATATATCCTCGGCGGAAGAACGCTGACCTGCACTTCAGTGTTTGGTGCAATCGCATGGGAATTGGAAATGTGTCTACTCCGCCGTCGCGAAGTCTCCGCATCTGAGAAAGTTGGATAGGAAAGCGTAAGCCTCAGCTGGGCAAGAACGCAGACGGAACGTCGGACGATTAGGGGATGGGTGGTTATTTGCTTCCTGCAATTCGGCACTTGGCACACTGAAAGCTGATAACCGGGGAGGTACACAGCTGGAGCTCATGGTACAGCCCCGTGCTGATGCCAAAACAAACGTTGTGCAGCCATCTGTTGCAGAAAGGGCATTAGACAGATTTGGAAGGAGATGTGACGCGTTAGCTGCAGAACACAAGTAGGAAGACATTATTTCCGTTTTTTAATCGAATCCGTGTGCAAGCAAGAAACAACACCGACCTTGACCGCGTAGTAATCACAGGACATCATGGTCATTTGTTTCTCAAATTTCTGCTTACCTTTTCCGGTATATATAGTAAAACTATTGCCGATTATCTCTTGTCATGTGTGATCTTTTTGAATGACCTTGTCAATGCAAACGTCTGGTCAACCTTGATTGGTGTGCGCCTCTAGGGTGAGTCGTGTGCTCGACGCGCCTCTTGACGTCACTGGCTGCAAATATTTGTCACTTTATAGCACGCATTGCCATACTTTTCCCTAATCTCTATTTCAGGTTATTCGTTCTGTTTGCTTTTGCCAGTCGGGCTTATAGAAACTCAGTTATGATGTCTCGTGGAAGCGGCTCCGGCTCGCCTTCACAGAATATCAGATCTCGTTCAGATCGTTCGAGAAAAAGGTTAGTAAAGATGGCACTATTCATGACCATCTATTCAACATTCTGGCTATGTCAGGCTTAACGAAACTGACCCGTCCGAATGGACTCACGAAGCTGTACACATACAGTGGAAATGTATCTCAACTTCATACACTTACAAGTCCCATTTCTGAACTATCTTGTATTTTTTATTTGATGTGCCAGCTTGAAATAATTGATTGTGTGGCCTTACTTTGGAAGCTAACCTGTGATACCACCGAAATACTTGGATCAGCAACTACAACTATGCATTACGATTCGCGAATCGTTATGGTTAGTTGTCCGAGTGCGAGACAACGAACTCCCAGTGGACTGGGAATGAGGTGCAATACGCATCTTCTAACTGAATAACCGTGATATAAAGCTCAGCACTGCAGAGAGGGCATTTGAGATCATTTGACTAGAGCATGGGTTGATGCTATGACTGATGCAATGTTCTAGTTACAGACAGAAAGTTATACTGTGGTTACAAGAAAGAGTATATCTCCGGGAGGTCTTATACAATTGCCAGCCTACTGTAGCCTTTGACGCAGTCTGTGTGGGAGCTGCTGAAAAATATTTCGAGATAAACGGGTCATAAGACCACGCATTTCTGGAATGTTAATGTATTAATTCTATCTTTCTTTCTGTACACTGTGATCGCATAACTAATCGAAACAATGTGTATTCAGAGTTCAGCTGATCAATAATTTATTCCCTTTACTTAACGGGTTGGCAGTCCGTCGCAAATCCGATCAGACGATTTTTGAGCACGCTTCGGACACCCAAAACATCGTCTGCTTATATAAAATATCGGGTGATAAGAATCAAACCATATCTTTGTACTTCGAAATTGCTCGCTTAGCCGTTGTGCTGCATTCTTGTAACACTACTCTACGGCAGGTTTCGTATTTGTGTACACTTGCTGGGTTGAGATAATTTTACTGCTCGCACCCGGTACTTTGGGACTGCGTGCCGAAGTCTATACTCATATGCCATCAAGTCGCAGACTGTGCTCGTCACAACGGTTACTGTTTAACTACTGGTCGTTGGAATAGTCCTTGTGTGTATAGGTCTGTTCCTTCTAGGGAACAGCTCGCATCGTCGAGGAATATACACTTTATTTATTTATTTAATGAAGCTGGACCTTAACGTGGTTCGACGGTTTGTGTACCTTTGACCAATAGAGCTATACCTGGCGGTGCTTCCGGTCCCCTTGAGAGCTGCTCCTACCAGGTTGAACAACCATGGTCTGAACACCGAAGTTCGGTGGATCTAGTTGCCACTACTCACATCACGAGAATCACTAAAAATAACCACGCCAAGGTAGTAGCGTTGATTGCAAATAGAATGTAAAATATGGGAACTTGAAAGGGATTCGTTAAGCCTATCGGAATAGAAATAAACAAAGGACCAGATGCAAGAAACCACTGGCTACTTGACTGCGTAATGTCTGACACGGTCTCCAACCATTGGTGTGGACCATCCCGAGGCGCTCACCCAGCCTGACCAAGTCTCTCAGTCAGTTTCTTCATGCCTCTATGCCACGTCATGAACTGGCCACCTCGCAGTTTCACCCAACTTGGTGCAACCACGACGTATACTGCACAGCCAGTCAGCGGACATACGGAGAATATGGCCTAGCCAGCGTAAGCGATTAGGATACCGTGAACACTCCAGTGCGGAACCAGAAGGCTTCTTGCCAGTAACCAACTGCCGGACCTCAGCATTGCTCACCCAGTGTTCCCACCAAACGTGAACAATACTTTGCAAGCACCGATGGTCAAACACGATTAAGCATTTAATGTCTACGCTGCTAACTGTCCAGGTCTCTGCCTCATACAGTAACATCGGCTTCACCGCAGCATTATACACCGTACCTTTCACTGGCAGCCTGATATCCCGCTGTATCCATTTATAGTTGAGCTTCTGGAAAGCCACACGGAGGTTGTTGATACGCGAAGTAACTTCATCAGTAATGGGACCACCATAGGTGTCACAGCTACCAAGGTAAGTGGACCGATCCATCACTTCCAGTGGCTGCTTGGTGGTAGCTGGAACCGGAGGTGTGTCGGTCCAGTTCTGCGGCAGTACTTTTACTTGTAGGCGCAAAGCACATGCCGAAGCATGCAACGCAACGCGTCAGTCTATCCAGTAATGTTCGCAAAACCATTGATCAGACCCATGGAGTGCTCTATCATCCGCATACTCCAGGTTTGTTAGTTGGCCATCTGAAGAAACTGATATTTGTGATCATCTCGATCACAAAGTTGAAGAGAAAAGGCGATATAAGACAACCCTGCCGAATCCCACTTTTGTGGAAGATTCAAGAGACAGTTTCCCATAAACCCTTACATAGCACACCCTTTATGGGTAGGCAGTGTCACTAGTTGGCGCAGACATCGGAGTCGAAAGCAGCTTCCAAGTCCCAGTCGTCTGTGTATGTCTCTGGTCTAAAAATTGGCAACGAATAAATATGTTGTCGATATAACCACAACCAATGATTCGGTCCTCACGGCGACCACTAAGTCGTCAGAGAATGATACCAGTGGAGGTTTTGAAGCAATGGAGATAAGGCAAATGCTTCGATGATTTTCGCACAAAGTACGCTGACCCTATTTGAAAATGGGCATGAATGTTGACAGCCGCCAGTCTGAAGGCACTTCTTCAGTGTTCCAATTCATGTTGAATAGTGGCGAGTCCAGTAAACATAGAGTCATCACCATCTTTCTGCAGACATGGAGGAAGGTCATCGAGTCCAGGAGCCTTGTTTCGTTTCAACACGAAAACCTAATGTCGAATTTTTTCCAATGTGGGAGGTGTGACATCTATTTCCTACGTCTGTTCAAGCGACTCAGCAAGCGGCAACGTGGCAGCAGACCTACTGAAATGCTCTTCAAAATGTTTTGCCAACAAGCTAGTCGACGACGCTGATTCTCAGCTATTGTCTCACTACCTGATGGCTTTCTCGACCCGTGTTCCGGATGAGCTGGAATAGCGCTCATCTGTTTCCAGATAGCGCTAGACTTCACCATCTCGCAAGCCCTTGTCATCCACTAACGTTCCCGTTCGATTCCGATTGTCCAGTGGCTAGAGATCAGACAAACTCAGTTTCCTGGTCCTCCAAGTTGGAGATTTGTAACGGGATGGCGTCCGTTTCTGTACAAGCAAATCTTTGCCACCTCCCCATCGTCTTGCGCACAGGCTATTGAGCCAAAGGCTTTGGTTGACGACCCCACCCTCGCTACTGTCTAGGTCTTGGCGCCCTGACAGTTTTTCAGCCCAGGTACAACCATGAATACTCCCTCAAACTCCAACCACACCTTGCGTCGGCTCTTCCGCAGATTACCAAAAATCGCCTTGTATACTGCCTACAGCATGCCGGATAAGTGAAAACATGCTACTGCTGTCCCCTCCCTCGTTTCTTTTCCACATGCTTCTATTACTCCCCTCCCAACCCTCATTGCTAACCTTCCTTTCATAACTCCTAGCCGTAATGGCGCTGAAGCCGAACCATCTGCAGCTACCTTCCTGTACCACCCACTGGACGCCTATTGGCAACTGTCTCTTATAAGGTCTCGCTGTCCCGTTTACGTTGCAACGTTCACACTCTAAGACATAGGTCAACAGGCTGTACTCGTACGCACGTTGGACACCTTCCGTATAGACGTGTATTGTGTGACTCTCACGGGTTTGTTGAAGTAACTGCGCCCGGCTTGTCCTCTCGCTATTGGTTGCATGCATCTGGAGACCCTGATGCGACGATCTTTGGTCAAGTTGGGATAGGCATCGTTCTCAGCTCAAATGCTGTCATCGTTAATTGCTTAGATTCCTGTGAGCAGTCGTTTGGCGACATCAATTTACCTTGATTCATAAAGTAGTACAAGCCGCTGTTTGTTTGTGGTTTCCGCTTATGCCCTCACCGACAGCAGTTCTGGTGCTGCCAAAGACACCTACCACGAACTAAACACGCTGCTTCGCAGTCTTAACTGTTCATATGTCGTTGCTGGAGTTATGCATGCGCAAGTAGGTCACATGGGCTCTTCAGAAGCCCAACTAGGAGGTAGATATAGGCTTGACTCTGAATAGACAGGCAACTGCGAACACCTTTTGCAACTGCGCGGAGAATCAGCTCTTATTAGCACCTCTTTTAGACACAGTGGGTGCCGAAGTGCCATTTGGCGTCCTCCTGTAACTGGCCAACGATGGACTAAAATAAATCACATAGCCATAAGTTGTTTCGTTCTTGATTGTCGTTCCTTCTGCAGTAATTGCATCGACTTTACCGGGAGATGTGCCAAGCGTCTTCCTCGATTTGAAATTAAAACTTATATTCTCCCTCGGTCACACAAGGCTACCAGGATGCACTGCGTACCGGACTGTCGCTCTCTTGTCCTAATGACACCGAGTCTCTGTGGAATGGGATCTCGGCTTTCATGCACGATGCAGGAGCATCTGTTTGTGGTACTATCAATCCTCACCGCACCAGTCACTAGATCTCCGAGAGATCGGTGAATTTGTTGGAACCCAGAAGGAAATTTCCGGTTAACTCTAAGCACAATATTACCAGACGGACTATAAGGCACGAACTAAAGTGGGGCCTTCGTTCTGACAAGAAAGCCCGGCGGGAGCAGTAATCAATTACCGCAAGCTCCTCCAGCTCCTTCGTACCACTAGTGCCAGAAAACTAGGTATCAGTGTGACAGACAGCGGAGTGACATGATTCACAATAACGAATGCCATGTAGTTTGTTGAGCGGAGCACTTTCATGATCAGTTCAGCTGTCCCTCTTCTTCCGGACCTCTACTTATTCAGGTGATACAAGATAAGCCATGGACGGCTAGTTTAGAGTCTCCATCAGAGACTGAGGTTCGAAATGCGATCACTGCCTACAATCGTTTTCGTGCTGCTGGTCCGGATTCCCTCCCACATGCACCATTTAAGGATGGTGGTGAGGTCGGGTGCAAATCACTGTCATCCCTGTTAAAACTTCTGGAAGGAAG